AGAAAAAAGTGCAGCGGACGTTGTGGTGGCACATCGTGTTGTTCGTGGTCGCAGTAAGACAACAATTTGAAAGAATATAGGCAGATCCAAGACGGATCCTGGGGAGAAGAGGTGGTAGAGCGACGGGGATAGCTGGAGGGGGAAGGGAGGAGGGGGATGAAATGGGGCGGTGAAGGATGAGAAACGGTGGGGAACGAGTATTCGCCGCTCCCTCCTATCCTGAAATTAGAGTTACTTTAGTTTTATTTACGAACAGATCCAGGCTTTTACAGTACTGGTGTCTGTGCCGTTCGTCCCCTCCCCCTTGGAATCCGCCCATGAAAAAAGTTAATTTATTAACTTTGACAATCTCTCCTGGAATACAGTGCTTGTAATTCAGCAATTTCTAGAGCCCAGTTACGAGCGATTTTGGTAATGTGGTCCAGGCGTAGTTTTCAAAAATTCAGCACTTAGCAGTTGTAGTTGTTACAATAGTAAAAGCTATCACTGAAACAACAAGGTGGCAGTTGCTAGCTGTATTCAGGAAGAGCAGAACCCAAGTAAAGGAAAAATGTCAGGAATAGAGCTGCTCAGCCAATTCAAGCGAGATGAAAATAAGAATCTCGAAAAATCTCAAGCACCCTTCGCTGTATCAGTTGATTCTGAAAAGGTTGGTCATTTTATTAAATACTTTTTTTAGCACATGTATTTTTTTTCGCCCTACCGGAACTTCTCTACCAGTCCAGTATAGGGTTTTTAAGAAAAAGAAATAAATGAAAATGTTTATGGCAAATCTATAGATTTTAACTCATACTTTTTGAGGAAAAAAAGGGGCTTGATACCTTCTGCAGCCTTTCCTCTTCAAACCGCACTAGTGATGGTAGCAATTATGAAAGTACTGTATGACAAATGAGATAGCCACACAATCTCAGCTGACCATTCGATTCGGTGCTAGCAACGTTCGACGTCTACATAGCATTCTTTAAATTTCTTTTTTTGTCTTGCTTGTTATTATTTTGGCTAAATTTTGCTCGAAATTTGCATTTTTCCTGTACTTCAGGTGGATCACTGCAGCAAAGCTAATAATTCTGCTGGTCAGTCCGCACCTGAGCAAACTATTGTTGAGCGTCGTTCTGAAAAATCTATCCCTTCAATCTCGGCGAAGAGCGGCAAGCAGGAAAAAGAGAGTGAACAACCGATGGATTATCTGGCCAGAAAACTGCAACTCTGTAGAAAGCAATTCTCGATGGCAACACAGTCACAAAATCTTCTAGCTTCCGGTAATAATGTTGTCGATGTGCTGTTCAATGGCCCAAGTGATTTTAAAGTGTAAAGAAATCCACTTTCATGTGATAATTTGAAGCGAGAACATGTAGAGTGGATTTCATTTTTTCAAGGAAGACACTTCCGAAAATTTTGCTCGTTGAGGTATTTCTTGCTTTTTCCGAAGCAAAAAACACTCGGACAAAATTTTACCATTCAAATTTCAATGATAAAGTACTTTTGGCGTGATCTCAACCAAATAATCAGTAAGTAATCATCGGTACTTACACTGATACTTTGACCAGTTGCAGTTCCTAGAATGTTTCCCTCATTATGCTGTTGGCTATTTTTCCGGTTGCTTTGACCAGTGCTGCACTACCTAAACGGTCAGCCGACTGCCCAGTCTTATGTTCGTTTTGTTCACCTTTTATGGTCAGGGAAGTGGATGCCACAAATAGCGTTTTTATAAAACGCTCACACTGAGAGAAGTACTCCACTGATTCTTTAGCAACAGATTGCAAAAACCAGACTGGCCAATCCAAGCATCAGATGGTAATCGGTACCATCGTACTAAGGATAGTCAAAAGGCAAAATTGCCTCCAT